GGCACAAAATAATCTGACTGCTCTGTCATATTGTCTGCCCCTGATGCTTTCACCTGAAACAATGATAGATGATAGAAGAACATATTGTGTTTTAAGCTCAGCTTTTCCGACCATGCCTTTTCAAGAACTTGAATAATCTAGATACTATAAAGCTGTAAAAACCACCAGTTGATTCGAGCACACTAAGAGGATGTGAGTAACTTTCAGTTTGGCCTGAAACCTCAGCTTTTCGTTGGCTTTATATCTGTTTGTACTGATCACCTGTTGCTAGTTGTGTCCTGCATTCATTAACCTGCCACTTGTTGTCTGGTTTATCTGATTGACCGGCTTGTAAAATGTGTTGAAAACTTAAAAAGGCTAAGAAAAAGAAGCAAATCCTTGAGAAGGTGAAACAAAGTAAAACAACAATTCAACACTTTCACCAATATCACTCTCACTGTCTTCGTGTCGGTCAGCCTTTTGTGTGTATCATGGGTTTCCATGTCTTTTGTCTTTATTCCTTTTGTCTGTCCCCTGGTGTCCTTTTTACCTCTTTTGTCTCCTCTCTGCTTTTCATTCTAACTTTTGCTCACCAGTACAGTGTTTGCAGAAGGATAAGGCCTCTCATATGACCCTGAGCTGTTGACTTCCACCCCGCCTTCCGCATTCCTGCATCAATTTGAACTTCTGAACACAACAAATTGTGTGTCTGTTTATGTGTGTGGATAGCCAAGGCTAATCTTGATAATTGGAAAAACTCGAGAGCTCGACTTCCTGGAGTTTGGCTTCAGGGGAAACTTATGAGTGGCGTGTTGGCGCATCCATCAGCGGGACATGGTTCACTTATGCTGTTTCTTATCCTACAATCGCTGTTCAGCTTTTTCACCAATCATAACAGGAGCCATGAATTATTTTCAGTTCTTTAATCATACATTTCTGAGGCTTTTTAGCAGTCTGCTTTTGCAATCCATCTGTCATGTAACTATGGTTAGCGCTGCTGTTAAGCGTACCATTGTGTTGAGTGCTATAGAGTCCGATATGTATTTGCATGAAAACCCTATGCAAATATTTATAATGGCAAAGGCTTAATAACTTCTAATGGCTTCTAATGACTGCTTTGTTTGCTGAGCCATAGTTTTTCTTTTTTTTTCCCACAGTGGAGTTACAGATCCAGACACAACAGTGCTGATCCACTGACTCATTCTCATTGTAACTATATCCTTTGTGCCCAGCAGCTAATTAAGGACTCATGTGATCCCTGTCATCTGTCTCCATCACGAGGACATAATATTTTGCTTTATAGTTCACTTCATAATATTTAGTTTGAATTGAACCAGATTTGATTTACCATGTGAATATTGGCATAGAGATTAATTATACGCTCACTGGCCACTACATTAATTACACTTTGCTACTCTGGGGGAACCACTTTTGCTTGCAGAACTGCCATAATTCTTCATTTGAGTACAGTGAACTCATTGTCATGTTCAAGAAACCTGTTTGACATGATTTGAGCTTTGTGACATGTATTTGTATTTTATCCTGCTGCAAGCAGCCATAAGAAAATTAGTACGGTCATACAGGGCTCTAGACTAACTTTTTGCCACGGTCGCACTGGTGCGCCTAACTTTTTTTCTTAGGTGTACCGGAAGAAGTTAGGTGCATCCAAATTATTCAACCACATCGCTTAACACCGCAGTTTTACATGTTTACTAAAAAAAAAGAAAAAATGCTGTCCATGCAGACAATATTCATTTGTAAATGATTAACTAACAATCTTGTCAACACAAAGTTCTTTATTTGGAGCGCATTTCTATAAGAAAGATAAGTTACTGAAAAAGTGCTTGTGCTTAAAGTGCTGAGCTAAGCTGAAATTTAAATTTAAAACATCTGAAGATAAATGAATAAAAAAATTCTAAATTAAAAGTGCCTCAAAGGCTTCAAACTGAACATCTCAAAATCTGAACATCCGAACAGCTTGATATCTTATGGACTATCCTCCATTGCAGTCACACGCCTCTCAGACGACCAACTCATGTAACTTGGCCTTTTTAATTTTTTCCCAGACACATTTTTTTTCAATGTGTCTGGGATGACACCTATAAACTGGGCGCATGTGACATCATTACTGTATGTGGGGTTTACGTTCAAGCCATTTTTCTAGTGAAGAATTATTTCGGACTTGAACTTAGTGAACGGAACTTCTTCTTTGGCAATATTGTAGGCGATGTTAAACTTAATCATCATCTTGGCCTCCTCTGATGACCTGTTTGCTGCTGCCTGCACACAAGTCATCAGAGCGGCAGTCCCCTCTCCTCACTCCCACTGAAAGGCAGTGGGGAGAGGGGACACTTGGGCAGTGCATTTATTGCTGCATATAATGTGTTTTCTATATACACTGTGCTTTTTCAGCGTTTCAATTCGAAACGTCTTAGCACCTGTCACAAATGCAGTACTGCCGGCCATAGTCTTCCCACACTCACGACAGTAAATGCAGTGCAACATGTTGTCAGCTTTACTGTAGCCAGGGAAACTGGTCAAGCCGCTCTCTTCGAAATGTATACACTTTCCCCCTTTTACTTTCAGTGGGCTCTGGCTCAAAGTCGATTGTATGTGGCTCATTACCTGATGCCGTCTCCGGACCAGTGTTAGACATAACCTGAGAGGCTGATGGCTCCGTCAGAGCACTGGCTATGAATTTTGGATGGATCAGGCCTTAACTTAACGAAAAAATTATCAATTGTTCTACTCGAAAGGCTGGTCGCACCTTGGATCAAGGATTTTTTTGTAGTCGCACCACTGAGAAATTAAGTCTCATGTGCAACCAAATCGGTCGCACTCTAGAGCCCTGTCATAAAGGAATAGTCCCTGGTGTGGTCTTCTGCAGTAGTATCCCATCTACTTTAAGGTTTGATGTGTTGTGCGTTCAGAGATGCTCTTCTGCATACCTTGGTTGTACCCAGTGCTTATTTGATTGATTAGTTCAAAGCAGTCTGACCACTTTACTGTGACCTCTGACGTCAACATGGCATTTTTGCTCAGCGTTCTCTGTAAACCTGAGAGATGGTTTTGTATGGTAAAAATCTCAGCAGAGCAGCAGTATCTGAAATACTCAGACCAGCCTGTCTGGCATCAATACTCTCTTTCTGATGCTCAGTTTGGACTTCAGCTGATCGTCTTGATTATGTCTACATGACTAATTGCACTGATTTGCTGCCGTGTGATTGGCTGATTTGATATTTGTATTAACGAAGAGTTGAAGAAGTGTACCACATAAAGTGGTTGGCGAGCGTATATTCGAGTGCACATAGTGATATATTAAAAATGATTAATTCTGTCCAAAGTTTAATTATCGTGTTGTTGTTCAGCTAATTGCTCATCAAGTGCTCGAGTCCTGAGATGATCAGTTTCCTGGTGTGCTGGGTGTTTTTGGACACATGGCTTAGTCGTGATTAATGTTTCAGATTTCAGATGAAGTCTAAAAAAAATCAAGAAGATTACATTAGCTCAGAGCATGAGAATTATGTATCCCAGAAACCTGCAGATGATTTACAAAAGTTCACATTGCAGAGATTTCTTCTGCCAATACACGGTAGTGTGTTAAGTGTAGAAGCCAAAAATATGAGTCAAATAGCAGAGAAAAGATGAAGCAGATGTCTTAGCTGACTGCTGCTGTCTGTTCTTCTTGAGTGCTCTGCAGTGTCCCTCTCCTAATTAGTGCAGACTAACCAGTAGTGGACTCCCTAATCATTAATAATAACCTTGGATATACTGTTAGAGTCTAAGGAGCTAAAAGGTAATTAGTGGGCTGCATGCAGCTTTGCTTTTTTTATTTACAGAGTGGTGTGGACTGGATTTGCATCAGAAGTCTGACTATGAAGCTGAAAATCAGTTTGACTGGCAGCTTAAAAGCACAAAGCTCTTGAATGTCTACTCTGCCTTCTACAGATCTCACAAAGAGCAAGTTTGTATACATGAAGCAGATACTGGATTTCTGCTTGCATTCGCTGATGCGGGTTTACTTTTAAAGGAGCTTGTAAAAGATATTTATGTTGATGCATAAGTTTGGTGCTTTATTTTTCTCAGTCTTTCATTCACCTTGTGAAAAAGAATCTAGTGGGGTCCTCGTCTTGTTTACGCTTTGGCCTCTCTGTGCTGTTTCCACAGAAATACCCACCTAAAAAGGACATGGTACGTGCAGTTTCCATTCAGACTGGCTACATGATCCAGAGTCAGGGACCTAATAACTGTACCCTCACTTACATGGCCCAGGTGGATCCACGAGGTAACTATCACTCACAGTCGCGCGCGCGCACACACACACACACACACACACACACACACACACAGAAGTATTCAGCACACAAGGACAAAATCAAACAGAGCACACACAGGAAGAGCAAAACACTCACCTAGGTATTTAACTCTGCGTTCTATGAATTATTCATTGCCCTGCCTTTATGTCAAAACGTGTCACCATAGCAACCATATGAAGGACAGTCTATCTCGCCTCTCTTCGCGTGCTCTCTCACTCACTACTCTTCACTCTACTTTTTTGTCTAGCATTTAATGATCTCCTCTTATTCTCTATTTACTTCACTTTCTAACTGCTGATCACATACAAGCAAGTGCCGATTGTGTAACTCTCTTTTTAATTATCCGTTGCTGATGCCTGTGTGCGTGTGTGCGTGTGTGTGTGTGTGTGTGTGTATTTGTGTGTGTGTTTGTGTGCATGTATGAGAGAGAGCCATATGGGCGCAGTGAGTAGTTACTAAGCCTTGCTTTGATCCTGGTAATGTGAAATAAAACAGACTCTCTGTCACACTCCAACTTTTACCCATGATACTTTGCTCACCCCGACTCTCTTTACAGGTTCGCTACCCAAGTGGGTTGTCAACAAGTCTTCCCACTTCCTTGCTCCATGCGTAAGTAATATGTGCAGATTAACAAAGATCCTGTGAGTGTGTCTGACTGTGTGATAATCCGCACTTCCTCTCAGCACAGTGCCGGTCACCATGAGAAAATACGCAGACCTTTTAGTTTACTGCTTGTCTGAGGGCATCTGCTGTATATGTTTATTAAAATAGGGCAATGATTCTCTAGAGAGCATGCTGTGATGGAGGATTCCTCAGAGATGATATCAGGGAAAGAAGGCATCTAGTGAAGACAGTGAATAAAAACATTAGGCATTTTAGAGTCTTTAGAGATTTGCTTTCCATTCATATCTCAAAAAAAGCATTTCACATTGTGACTTTAATCAATAGTCTGCATTTTATCAAAGCTTTTGAAAAATATGGATCTAATTATTCATATTAAGAGAGGGTCAGAATATCAATATGGGATTTGGACAGTGACGCTTTTTTTTTTTTTGCAGTTTTCCTTTGATACACCAGCACGGGGGCTTTTAAATCCAACAATCAAGACATGATTGAAGTGCAGTTTTTTTTTTTTATTCTTTCATACGTAGGATTCCATTTTCAAAGGCTCAAAAATAATCAGACAATTGACTGGAGAGCAGATTTTTGATCAGATGAGGGCTGTTTCTCATTATTCCATAACAAATTAAGCAAATAAAAGACCTCTATTTATTTCCAAGTGTTGGCTGGTTGCTATACACTGAGGCTCTCAAAATAAAGTCCAAAGAGATAACCGTGCCAGTGGCTGAATCAACAATCTGTTGAATTCTTAAAAAGAAGGAATGCACTGAGCAGCTCAACAACACCAAAAGACCTGAAAAACTATAACAGAAGCCAACTAGAGAGCATGAGGACAGAATTACTTCCATGGTTAAGAAAAACTTCTTCATAACGTCTAACTAAGTCAAGGACAATGTAAATACAGAGAGTTTACAACAAGGTGCAAACCACTGATAACACTCAAGAACAAGAAGGTCAGATTAGACTGAAATCAGAATGATTTGTATCAGAATGATGGGAATAGAAAAATTACAGAGGAGAGAAACAGGCAATGATATTACATTAACTCTCAAACATGTTGGAGGTAGTGCTATGGCATGGGCGTGCTTGACTGCTGACAGAAGCAGTAGCGTGGATTGTGAAGCCTTACAGAACAGACGTGGGATGTTCTTCAGTGGCAACAAGCAGCAGCTGAATGTGGTGGCAGTAAAGGAAACAGTTAATGCGATACTTTTGCTAACCTTGAATTAAAGCTGAAAGTCTGAAAGTCGGCACTTTTCTCAGATACTGCTGAAGGGCAGATCCGATTCATCATTTTTGATTTGAAATCCACCGAGATGGTGCACAGAGGCAAAATCAATTCATTGTCAAAATACTGCAGGCCTTACAGTATATAGTATTGCTTTCCTTTTTGGTAGATATATTTTTATTAAAACATGCGGCTGGTCTTAAGCGAGAGTGGTTGCAGCGAAGAAGATATATGCAGGATTATCTAATAGTTAAAAGAAAAATTGCTGAGTGATGTACATTGAATAAATACACACTTGCGTCTTTTTGCCTTTTTAGCTTTTCATTTTTTTGGTCTCTGCAGCTACAAAGATATCCAGATATATTCTAGATGATTGTCTTGCCATGCACTGAGTGCTGCTGTAACTTCCTGGACCATTGTTTTTGTATGAGACGTGTTGCTCTGTGTTTTTTACCCTTAAAAAAGCATACAGGCATGTTGTTTCTGACATTAAGTACTATCAGACATGTGTGAAGCTCCCTTGTTTGGTTCTGATATTTGTAAAAAAGAAATTCTCTGTTCTTGTGGCTCTGAACAAGATCTCCTCCCTCTTTTTATCCTTGCCCATGTTTTATCTCTATAGATTCCTCCATCTCTCACAGCTTCCCTTCTGTCTCCCTTTATCCTGTCACTCATCCATCTTCATCTCTATTTTAGTATGGGTGCTATTTCTGTCCTCGGGATTTTTCATCTCTGTTGAGTTCAGCCTGTTCTTCCTTATAGAATATTGCTCAAGCATACGTGTCGGCCAAGCTTTCTGCTGGAAATACTTTCTTTCTATCACTGCCATCATTTCTCATAAATCACATGTTGTTGTTGTTTCTTTTGTTGTTTGTTGTTGTTTGTTCTTTCCAGGCCATGAAGAAGATCTGCAAAGCCTGTGTGAAGTATCCAGAGTGGAAGCAGAGACACAACCCTGCCTTCAAGCCGTGGCTTTACCCAGAACAGACTACATTGCCCAGCATCCCGCTCTCTGAGCTCAGCATCCAGCGGGCAGAGAGCCTGGAGAATATTGATGAGAGCTCCCTGGCTGAGGCCCATGAAAGAGAAGACAGCGACTGACACACACACATTCACAAGCAGCACACACACTCATACGTTCAAGCAGGGATGGAGAAATGCCTGTAACATGCATCATGACATGTATGTGTACGTGGTTCTATTTGTAAGTATGTGTAAACATACACACATACATACACGTACTTGTATCAATATTGTACATGCATAGTGCATATGCAGGCATATCAGTAGGCACATATAGGTAAGCATTCATGGAGACGGACAGTCACACGTTAACATGCGCAATGTGAGAACACAAACTCACAACATACAACAGCTTCACTCAAACTAAATTTCAAGAACTTTTAGCCTAGTTGGTTTTCTAATTGGGACCTATGCAGGTCATTGCAGCTGAATATGTTTTCAGCAAGATTTTATGTCAGAATGTTTACAGACTAACCTGACAGTGCGCCTTCTGCTGTCATTCAAAATATGACTGAATTATTAGAATTAAACTGCCCTCTTTTAGCCACCAGTCACACACTTCAGCGCAAGATTACATATTTATGCTACACTAATGCCTTCACATGTGTACACCCTCTCCCCCCTATCATCGTCTTTCGGTCCAATGCTATGTGCCTCCATCACATTTTGTAGGCACGTGATAAATATGCAGGTGTGCAGAAGGCAGCTGGAAAAACCCACCCCAACCTGCATCCACGTCTATCTTACGTACACGCACACACTCACGCGCATTCAACACTCACACGTACTGTCTGATCCTCTGTTCCAGAGATGGATGAATGTATGTAGAAATTCAAGATTAAATACAGATTCCTACAGAGGTTTTCAAATTTCACTGGTGATCCGAGTATTTTTTTCTGTGTTTGTGTGTCTCTTTCACTCGTGGTGCCGAACTCACCTCGGGTTGGCGGCTGGTGTCGCCTGCAGGTTTGCATAGTTGGAGTGATGCTGAAAGAATTTAAAGAATCACCACCCAGTCAACTGGTGGCTCTGCTCCCATTCACACAATCTGCCGGGAGACGTGCACACAAAACCGATGTGCCGCGATTAGAAGGGGAGAAACACCACGTCACGCAGCCTGCACGCTCCGCGTCCGACGTTTGCACATGTGAAGCGTATGTGCGCGCTCACTGGCCTAGATCAGGATTAGGAATCCCCTCAATCTGTTGGCATGGCAACTCTGAAATCGACTCAGCACTAAAAAAGAGACGCAGAGTGACAGGAGCTCGCGTGTTTCAGAGGAAGTGATTTTATTTATTGAAGGGTGTCCGCCCCCAATTTTCAGTCGTATGATTGGAGTAAAAGCATGTGCAAGAACACTGAAAATGCACCGCGGGTCCTTGTGATGAGCTAATTAAATGACAGAAGAAGGAGCTTGATATTACTCTTAGCACAGCAGCTGAGCAAACCATAGTGCCGCAGTGAGAGGAGCGAAGCGGTGAACTTTTTATGTAACACTGTGGCCGTGTTTCTTGTGCATCTTCCTCTTTATCTGTTCCTTTTTTTTTAATACAACATCCACCTCTGCATATGCGTTGCCTAATAAAGTATGAATGATGGAGGAAAGTGTATATGAGAAATAGAAAGAGACACACAATGTGTAAACAGCGCTTGTGCTCCTCCTTTTGTTTTGTGTTGTTTTTCATACAGCTGTATTGACTGTTTGCCCTTATGACCATCCATCCATCCTCGCAGTCTTAATGAGGCCTCTGGCACAGCCATCGACATTATATGCATGTGTGTGTCAGAGGAAAGGGCTGCATGTGCACAACTGCATGTCTCAGTGGCATCCCTGTATTGTCTTCCACCCGCCTCTGCAGCAGGAGGAGACGTTTAAGCAGCATGACGGCGGGCAACGTCTCCCTGTGTGTGCGTTTTCTGCATATGTGTCACACTGCCACCCCCACAGCAACCCAGCCCACCGGGGCTGATAGCCTGGTGATGACTCATCACCTCCCCACCCCCTCTTCAACTCCTCGCCATCGCTCGCTGTCTCTTCTATTCTCCCCTTCTCTCCTCCTCAATTTCTGCTCTTCTCTGCCCTGTTTCTCCTCTTCCCTTACCCCCCTCTTTTCTCCTTGTCATCTATCCTTTGATCTTCTCCTCATCCAGACTTCTTTGTTTTCATTGAGCCTCCTCTGTGTGTCACTCTTTTCCCTATCCTCCTTCCCCTCTTCTCTTCTTCCTTTCCAATCTATGCACTTCTTCCTTTGCTGCTCTTACCTCCACTCTTCTCATTTTCTCCTTCTCCTTAATCTCACCCATTTGTTCTCCTTCATTTGCTTCCATCCTATCCTGGTCTGCTCCCAGCTCACTCATTTATCACTTGTTTTAGCTTTTTTCTTCTCTTGACGACACTTACTATCTTTTTGACTCCTTTTTGTCCCTGTTTCTTTTCATGTTCTATCCTCTGGCTAACGTTTCCAGTTAAGCTCCCCCCCCCCACTGTATCCTTACCGTACATCCTAATTGGAATGAGCAACAGGCTCCCACGTCAGTGACTTGTTGGCTCAGTCTGGCTCCTGAAGACTAAGATGTATTACCCTTTTTGCTCATCCACCCCCTGAGTGATAGAGCCTCTCCTATGACTCTCCCAGCACACTTAAACAACAAGTGACACACAGGCACAGGCACAGAGAGATGCACACACACCTAGATAACAGTAGTATTAAAGGTTTGACAGAGCGTAACATGTGACCTTTTTTTGTTCACGTAACCTCCCAGCGTGGTGTGTTTTGCTCATGGAGCCAACTGGGACATCATGATTTATGATGAGAATGTAATGCCCCCCACCCTTATCTCGTGAATCTTGCTAAAAATGGAACCACTGGGATCATCTTTAATAATTTAAGCCTGGGTTAGATTCTCTTCCTGCTTTAAACATGGTTTCCTCTTTTCTATTTATAAGAAAATAAATGTTTAAGTTCAATATCTTGTGTTGATTGGTTGCCCCCTGCTGGTTTGTCTGAGTTCTACAACTGTAGTTAATTTTTTTTAAAAAAAATCAAATCTGTTCAAATATATTTCTGTTTATGAACGCAGTAACCTATTTATAATATTAAACCCAGAAACACAACCTAGTGGAGCCGTACACTAGACAGAAACCTGTACAAATAAATATTACTTAAATATTACTGGTTATAATACTTGTCATTTGTTTATTTGGTATTTATTTTGTTTGTTTATTGATGAACACACACACACAGACACACACACACATTCACACACACACACACACACACACACACACACACACACACACACACCCACACACACACACACACCCCAGAAAAAAAGTATAATAAAAATACAGTGTAAAATTTTATTAGCAGTCCCATTGAGGGTTATGGGGATGGTTTTAGTTCTCCAAAACACGCCGACTTTAAGTAGAGTATTTGCAATAGCAGAAGTTAAAAAATACCACTGCTCAGTTTTTGTTTTTTGTTTTTCTTTTTTGGTATTGTACGTAAAAAGTAAGCGTTGTGTGGGGAACGTGGATGAAAACTAACTGGGTTGTCCAGTCTTTCTAGACGGTCACATGACGGTCTTACGGAAATTCTTCGACAGTAAAATTATCCGCGTTAAGGCAGAAAGGACAAAGGTGTAGCCTTCAAAGTAAAACACACAGTCGGCTAAACTCCCCGCGGGTCTGTTTATTTTGAAAGGAAAGCACTTCCTTCACTTGCACGTAAGTGCGGATGCATGCGCGTAGCCGCTGCTGCTCTTCAACAGTGAAAAAAAAATAAAGTGTTATTCGCTGTTCGGCGTCGCAGTTGTGTCTTCTAATCCCACCTCGAAGGCAAACCCACTCCTGGCGTGTCTCAGTGACACGGACACTGACGACTGGAAAGGGTAAGTGGATAACAGGAATTTAAAAACTATTTTTTCTCCAGCACAAGAAAAACTTTCCTCGAGCCACTGCTTAGAGGAGAACCTTGAACTCAGCGCTTTTAAACGCACTCACTGTGAGGGGGTCCGCACTGAAAAACAATGTTGCTGAGGTTATTTTTAGGCGCAGACTGTTATCTCTGAATTTATTACTCAGCGACGCATGAACCTATTATTTTTTCCAATGTGCTTCAGCGACTGTGTCCACTTCTGTTTTTAGAAGTAGACTAATTGATGAAGAAGAGTTTGATTGAATTAATGTGAACACTTTAGCGGCTTTCCCAGACTGCTCTATTTTTTTCTCTGGTAAAAGCGAACTTGCCTACGACGGGACTGTTTATCCCCAGTGGAATTCATTATTTCTAATCTGGGCTCCATTACATGGATGGTTTTAAGATGAAATCAGTTGTTTATAGATGGAGTAACTGGTTCCCAGCTTGAGACGAAGGAAACATCTATAGAAATTCTCAGAGCTGTGTATGTAATGGAGCAGGTGGATTTTTGTGACAGGTGATCATGCAGGCTTTAGTACAGCAGATCCCCCGGCCAAAAAACAAAAAAGCAGCGAGGTAGTTGCGGAAGATTTCTTAAACAGCTTATTTCTGCTTTTTTTTCTCTCCCACAAACTGACAAGAGTCACCTTATGAACAGAAGTTCATAAGGTTTGATCAATAATGAAACTGTAAACGTGTTGGCAGATAAGTTATTAAGAACTACAGACGTATGCTTTTCCTGTTCCTTTGAAATAATTTCCCTTTTGATACAAATGTGCTCCGAAAGGTTAATAACATTTGCCTGTGGGTTCAGGGCTTTAAAATAGATTGCATTTTTGCATGACTGATTTGATCAGTAGACCCTTAAAGTTGGTGAATACAAATTTTTAAGTAGTTTTTTTTTTTCTTTCTTCTTGTTTTGCTTTTTTCTTGCTGAGGAAGAAGTTCTTCAACCATGAAAAACGATGTTCCTCTTCGTTGTGGTTCACTAGATATAATTATGCTGCAGAAGCCTCCTAGTTGCAAAACTGTAAAGTAAATAAAAGTCAGTCATTTTTATCACTGCCATATCAAAGATTGAGCAAGGCACTTCGTCTTACCATGGAAAGCGGATACCGATTTATCGCTCTGAAGGGCAAGCCAAAAAAAAATCCACCCATTAAATGTCATTTTTTGCAGACTGGCAAAAATCGCTATCAGACAGTATCATGGTCCTACTGACCTTATTGGTCCTGCAGTGAAATGGGAAATGACTAAGTATGTGGCTGTCTGCCTTTGGCTTTCCTGTGCATGCTGAGAATCACATACTGTAATATTAAAAGATGCATATCAAGACGCAAATACACATTGGTCTGTCTCTATAAAATGTGCCTTCTATCATACAACGGGAAGTCTGGAATAAGCCACGGCTTGCAAATCATAGTCAGACGTTTTAACTTAGCAAGATTTCTTTAGAGGAAACCGTTATTGGCACTGATGTCATGTTTGAGATGCAGTGTCGGTTAATATCTGTCATCGTCTTTCTTTATCCACTTGTGTCATCAGCTTTTGTGCCTTTTTTTCTCTCCTCTCTGTCTCACTCGCACACATGATTGTTTGCTTCTGAATAACCCTGGAACGAGGTGAGAGGACACTGACCTTAGCAGACAACTGAGCGCTTCACATTTTAAGGTTTTGAAAGTGTACAACAAACAGCTGTCAACACCGGACTGAAATTAGAAATCTGCAGCCCTAAATGAATCCTTCTAATTTCAGCCAAATTTTGGCTTGCAGTCCAAACAGTGCTGGGAGTCTGCTTTAGTCAAAGGAGCTGCTTGAATAAATGCAGTAGGCAGGAGAATTCACATGGCTGCTTAAAAATTACGGCTTCAGGTTTGATTTGATTTAAATGAAGGTTAGCCTAATAGCATCAGGAGACTCTTGTTCATGTTAACTAAAAAAAAAAATCCCAT